GACAGAATTAGAAATCCACAGACTTACTGCATGCATAACTGTCAGCGTCACTGATACGCTTTACACTATATATCCAGTGTGGACGTTTCTCATCTATAGGGTCATCTATAGCATTCCTGGTTTCAAGTGTTTACTACACATATCTGAACTCCCTGTGCTGTGCCATTGTTTTTCAATTTCGTGCTTCCTCCCACGTTCAACTTTTGCACCCTTTTTTACCCTATTTCTCGCATTCATATATTTTCTCTCATTCTTGTTATTGCTGAGGTGAGGTTCAGTGGTTTATGGAAAAGTCTCTCTCTCTCTCTCTCTCTCTCTCTCTCTCTCTCTCTCTCTCTCTATATATATATATATATATATCCCCAAATTATGTGATTTTAAACCTTGGACAGCACACAACCTCACATTTAGGGTATCTGTTCTATTGCAATATAGAAGTCATCAAAACTCAATGCCATTGAGGAATAAATTACTAAATTCTGTATTTCTAATCAACACTACCACTTATTTATTGGAGACTTTTTTGGTCCCCAAATACAAAAACAATATTCTTATTTGCTTTTCCATTCTAACAAATGTAAATATCTTATGTACAAATTAAGTTACCTGGCCAAGTTTTGCATTTCTCGAGAACTGAGGATATTAGACAATGCAATTTCCAAACACACTGAATCCATCACCAGCTTAGATATAATCTTGACTGTATGAATGAGTCTACTAGTTGTTTTTCCCTTCCTCTCCCTTGCATTTAGTGATATTATCTGTTTTTTGAATGAGGAAAAATTAGAGTTATTCTTTGATCAATTTAGGAATGGCTTTTCTATAATATTACCCTTTGCAAGGCCTCTGTATATTTGAAAACCACAAAGGCAACTGGAATTCATTGGCCACTCTTTGGTTCTTTCTGCTTTATGTTTTATTTTCTTAGATTGTCTGGTTTTCTCCTGTCATTAAGCTGTAGGTGTGAGTGTGGAAAAGCAAAAGCCAGAGGCGTTTCTTTATTGTTCTCATCTTTGTATTTTTTGGTACTGGGGATTGAAATTAGGACCTTGTACATTTTAGGCAAGCTGTCTGTCACGGAGCTGCATTCCCAGCCCTTTTTATTTTGGGAGTCTCACTAAGTTGCCTAGGCTGGTGTTGAACTTGTGATCCTCTGCTTTAGCATCCTGAGTAGCTGGGCTTATAGGCTTGCACCACCATACCTAGTGGCTTCTGTTCTTAGTGCCACATATGTAACGGTGGACCTACCTCATTTTTATATTTAAGTTCTGTAATGTCTCACTAGCACCAATTTGGTGACTATTTTCTTCCTAACAGTGTTGTTTCGGACAAGGAACGGTGTGAAGGGGGTATGCTGGAAATCTGACAAGAGTTGAGTACGCATGTTGGGAACTGGGAAAAAGCAGGTTAAAGTATGGAGAGCCTAGGAGGCAGTGGAGCCAGGGAGGAGTCCTGGGTATTTTTGAGGAAGCAGCGGAACTTCATAAGTAGAGCAGTGTTCAGCAGAAGTTTGTAGAAAAATCTCAGAAGACATGGAGACCAGTTAAGAAACTTCCGGGGATTCGCGTGAGGAGTGACCCCTTTCTATGCTCATTGACCATCTGGAGCCAGCAGCCCTGGCTGTGCTGGCTATGACAGGTCAGAACCAGCCCAGCTGTCTGATCCTGCTGCAGTGATGCCAGTGTGTTTCCTACCCACTGATCTAGGAAATAGTCCCGGCACCATCCTTTATAAGTGGAGGAAGGGAACACAATGTTACCAGAAGGAACACTTTATCAGGCTCACTCCCTTTCCTTGTGGCATTACTATGGTTGACACAGCAACTCTAGCTTGTTCCAAGACACCATCTCCACAGTTTTTACTTCCACTTGTGCGGATGCTATGACTCAGCGCAATGTTCTCTGTCTGGAGACACCTTAGGATCAGGTATGAAACCAATATGATTGCTAACACAACTTTATGATTTGAAAACTCATCTTTTTTTGAAGTGTATAGCAGATATTTTCAACCATTCTTCTTTCAGTGTAATTTTTTGTTTGTTTGTTTTTGGTGGTAGTGGAGACTGAACTCAGAGAGCACAAGCTATATCCCCAACACTTTCTAAAAGTTTTTATTTTGAGACTGGGTCTTGCTAAATTGCCCAGGCTAGGTTTAAAATCTCTTGCCTCAGCCTCCAGAGTAGCTGGGATTACAGATGTGCTCCATTGTGCCTGGTGCAACTTAATCCTTATAAAAGCAGAAAAAATGAAGAGAATAAAGAAGGCTCTTACAAAATAAAAGACAGATTGTAAGAAACATGGAGATAGACTATGGATAGGGGAAGGGACTTGGGGATAGGAAAAATGGGAAGGGAAGTAAAAAGCATCAAGATGCAACGTGTATATGTACTGATATCCCACAACGAATATGCCATATTCATTACATATTGCAAACCTATTCTAATAAGAAAGGGAAAAAGGAGGCTCATGCATGTATCTTTTTAGCAGAATGTTCTCTGAGTCTTTAGTAGAAATGTTCATAGATGCCTAATTACAATGAAAAAGGATGGACAGCTGGTACCTGCTCTGTAACACAGGAGGTAAACGGTATGTCATAGGCATCCACAGGCCTAAAATGTAGAGGATTACAAAATATCAGAATCTTATGGCAGGGGGTAAGCATGGGAGATGAGAAGTGGGGGCCTGAGCTCACCCTGAGCAAAGATTTCTCTCGACCATCCTAGACAGAAGTCACAAGAACAGCTACATGTTATGGCCTCCTGACCCAGAGAAGAGGATGAATGACATGGAGAAAAGGCTTAAGTACTGTGAACATTTTTAAGTTCACTGCGGTACTTTTCTCTTTTCCTTTGGAAAAAACATTGAGATGATTAGATGCCTTTTAGGCGCTTTTTAGCCTAAGTGATTTACCTTCTGGACTTGATGTCTGCTAAGTGAGTCATATTACATTTTAGAAAGACACAGATTATACACATATACTCCTGGGATGTAAATACCCCACAGTTAAACTGTCCACATTATTTAGAACTACAATAAAGTTTATAAAATACTGGGTTTCTAAGAAGGGGAGAATAGTATGGTTAGATAAAGATTTGTAAATTTTTATACAGTGTTATAGAACATAAACTAGTTTTACTTGGGTTTTCACGAAATTGGGAAACATTCCAGATAATCTGACTTAACATGTTACTGCAGAATAGAAATGAAGTTCAGTTTAGCCTGGTGACTGGCAGTAGATCTGCCTCCCACTAGGTGCCAAGATCACTCTGATGTGCTCTATTGTGCTTGCTCACAGTCCAATCTGTGCAGCATGCTTCAGAGTGAGTACCAGGAAAGAGGAGTTAATTCAGAGATGGTTCATTATTCTCTTGAACAAAGACAGACTAGATGATTAGTGTATATGTATGAAGAATCAATGTTTAACGCTGTACACTGTCACCAAAGAGTAAAATTTTGCCTGAGAGTCATGCCAATATTTCCCAGTCTATCATTCAACGGAGATATCATGAGAAAGACACACTGAATGCACATGGTATCTCATAAACAGAAAATGAAGGACTTTTTAAAAGAAAAACTAAGTTCTGCCGCATATGCTCACATTTTTAATTAATTATTTAATTTGCTTCAGTTTTGCATCACAGTTTGGTTCCAAGTTTCTATTCAAATGGGAAACACATGTATTCATGCTATTGTGTGCAAAGAGATGGTATGTAAGGGCTTCTTTTTTGCATTGTCTAATTTCTCCAATTTTGCAGTACATAGTATAATTTTAAAAGGTTTTCATTCATAATGCTAAAAAAAATGTAGTCACTTTGATCTTCATGGGTAGGCCACTGAGTTTTATGGAAGGCTGGTACTGCAGCACAGTTCATGGGTATCTATCAGACCGATTACTCTTCTCCTTAGAGTTCAATTGCTGTAACTTGTCATTTAAAGTAGTATTTCAGAACATTACCACCTAGAATAGTTTGTTTCTATGGGTAATTCACAGAAGTAGATGGAGAGAAAAAAATAAAGGGCGAAAGAAGGTTATTTCCTTGGGTTTAGAGTAAAGACGTTTCATAATGTGGCATTCATCATGCTATTGCATTTGAACTTTAGTAATTTTGAATTCTTGCAGAAATTCTCCACCCCAATCCTGAAAACCTGTACCATGCACGGAGTATCTAATTCCTTTCAGATCTAGTTTGTTTGGTACTAAATACTATCTAACATAGGGCAATCCCAGTAATGGCTTGATAATTATTTTCTTCTCACACTGAGTCGCTACCATTTTGCTTACTTGTCTTTGATTCCTATTGCCTAGGTTGGAACTGGGCACGCAGTACATATTCAATAAATTCAAATTTTTAAACAAAGGTGACAACAGTAATTTGAGGCCTGTTTTGAATGATTTCACTGAGTAGTGCTCCTCGACAAAGTGAATCCTGGCCTACTGTCATGTGGACCCCATTTTCTCCAAGTTACCCAGATGACTGAGAAAAGCCAGCACACCCTTTGGCTTCAGTCATTAATCCAGTTAGTCAAAATAAAATAGGTACGTTTCATTTCAAGCTGAACTTGTGATATTTGGATTCCGAACAGCATCACATTGACCATAAAAGCGAAACTGAAGTTATATTTAAGTGCTTTTGGGACTCAATAGGTCACACTCTGCAAATTGGATCTCAGAAAAATCTAGTGATCTTCTGCAGAATGCCCATCTAAGCCACAAGCCCCGTGTTGGCATAAGAATCCAGTTCATGAAGTATTATGACATTGAAGACTCACCCCTGAGATTTTGTTAACAACTAAGTTAGAAAATAAGTATAACAGATTATAAGTATAACAGATAATAAAATCTTGACATGCCACTAAGTTTTAGGAGAGCAGAAATAACCCTCAGTAAAAACACAGAGCAAAATTCCAAAGGTCAAAAAAGTTTGCAGTGACTCTCTTACTAAAGAATCAGAGAATGTGTTCAAACCTGCAAATACATTTGTAATTACAAGGTATTCCTACCTTAAATACATTGATAGGGAGATCAATGACCACATAGATAAGGTCTCCAAGGGCAAGGCTGGCTATCAGCGCGTTGGGGCCATTCCTCATACACTTGTTCTGGTAAATGATCCTGAGCAGAGTTGCATTCCCCACCATTCCCACGATGAAAATAGTACAAGATATCACAGTGTTAATGTATTTGAAAGCTGAAGTAATTTTAGTCTGTTGTGGGCAATAGTTGTGCATGGAGCCATTGCTGGGCAGGGCCAAGTTAGTGGGTCGATGAGTAGTAACCAGGAAGTTGAGCTGTGTCCCACGGAAAGTGGTGAAGTCATTCACATGATTGCTTAGATTTGTGCTGTATCTCTCGGGGTTATCACTGATTACACATCCCACCAGTGCCAACCAAAAGGACGCTCTCAGGCAAAAGGTTTCCATCTTGATGCAAATTTGAAGAAATGTCTTATGATATTGCTTTTACACCTGGAAAAAGAAAGGGAAGTAATTATTTTTGTCATAAGAGCCAGTTGGCATAATAATCAATGATTATTTACTGGCTTAATTAAAATGTAGGATATCTTTGGTAAATAGTAAGAAATATCTATGTCTGGTTACCCCATGGTAGAACACAACTAGAAAAAAACCCCAAAGATTTATTAGGACAAGATCTCTCTCTCTCTCTCCCTCTCTTTCACACACCTCCACACATCCCTATCTCTATCCAAAGCAATATATATATATATCTCCACACCATAATATGGATGAGGGTATGTCAGTTTTTCCTTAAAGTTTTAGCTACTTTTTTTCCTCTCTGTCCAGGCTGATGAGAATCTGACTTACAAAAAACTTCCAGAGTTCAGACACTGAAAATTTTATGTATTGCTAATACTATCATTACCGTTATTATTATGGTATTGGGGACTGAACCCAGGACCTTCCTTTGCATTGAGCTATGTCTCTTTTTCTTTTTTTAATATGTTGAGATAGGGTCTCCCTAAGTGGCTAAGTTGCCCAGGCTAGGCTGAACTCTGATCCTCTTGCCTCAGTCTCCCAGTGTGCTGGGATCACTGGCCACACCACCACATTCAACTCAAAATTTTATGAAATAAAGCATTATATGTCAAGTAGAAGTTGCATGGTATTTAGACATAAAGTTACCAAATTGTGTAAATAATAATTCCATATTCCAGAATGTGTGTTTTACACATAGTAAATAATGAACATAGGACTAGAATACAGCAGATAGCCATCCAAAGTGTTACCAGATGCTAATGTAAAATCAGAACTCTAGTTAATTCCATTAATATATTTAACAAACAGTTTCAACGGAACATGACATAACGGTAAAGACAAAGTGTTTTATTTTGAAAATCTGGATGCGTAACATGTAACAGCTATATTTTCTAACAGATTTTGTTGCTCCATGCAACAGAAATTGTCATCACAATACTTGTCAACGAGTACAATGGGAATAATGTACTTTCTCAGACTAATCATACTGTTTGGTTCTCAAGGACCTGTGTCACTGTGCTGAGTACTTCGTATGCATAATGTTATCCAGTTCATGCAATGATCCTGTGAAGTAGATACACAGTTCGGTTGTGAAGATTAGGAAACAGAGGCTCAGAAAGGTGAAATAGCTTGTCAAGGTCATAGGAGGTGGTGCAATGCTGCAGTTCTAAGGCAGGTTAGCTGGATTCCCAGCCCAAGCTCTTAACCACTAGATCACCCTATCTCTCATTCTCGTGCTTTATTTAAACCTACAGCACAGCTCCAGAGTTCAGATGAAGCAACAGACTGTGGGGGCGGGGGTAGACATTTTCAAAAGACCACCTAGTGGTGTTTTTTTCCAGCCATTTGCAAAGAGCAAGTGAAACCTCTTGCCCGGGGAGTCTAGGTTTTTCCTTTAACCTTTAAGAAAAGATACTGGGGAGAAAAAAAACCAAGAAATTTGATGGTGACAGAATAGGCAAAGCTAAGTAAGTATGGTTCCTCCTATTTCAATATTTTGTGTATTTCCTTTCCCACGGTCTTTTTAGTGATGTTTAAATAAAAACCATAAACTTTGTGCAATGGTGTGTGTGTGTCTATGACACAAATAGCCGGGTCCTAATTTAATTGTAAGAAATTGTGTCCTTTTTCTGAATCTGTTCAATGAAGCTATTAGCCACTTTCAAGAATTTTGACAGTTATCACAGGACATTGTTAAGCTTAGTTATAGCTAATACCTAGACAAAATAAGATACAGTCAAGTAGTATAGAAGATATAAGGCAAATGCCAACTGTAGCACTGCATACTTTTGCCTTCCCCTCAGATTTTCCCCAAGATCGTGAAATAACACAGTGTTTTATGCAGAGAGACATATTACACATGTATCTGTTATCTGAGTTGAGTTTTATAATGATAGGTAGGCAGGAGTAATGTCCCAACATTTTACCCAAGGGAAACTGAGTCTTGAAGAAATTAAGTGACTATGTCAAGATTTTATAACTAAGAAGTGATAGGACAGTCATAACATCTTATAACTTTGTTATACAACTTCACTTGCTCTGACTAGGTAAAAAATATATCAATTTTTCAAAGTTAGGGACATGTCCTGTAGTTGTAAGCTGTATCAATGCTTAATTAGTAGTTTGCAATTTTTTCCCCTGCCTATTATTATCCGGTATACTTGAACAAATATCAACAGACCTGCCATTTCCATTCCAAAGTGGAGACCAAAACTCCAAGAACAAAGCTTAATGTAATCTTTCTTTTTGATCACAGAGAGGAGGGAAAGAAATGCTTTAATATCTTCTGCTGTTTAGTGTCTAGAGCCTCCCTGTTTCCTGATCGGAAAGAAATATTCAGTAATAGTTTTCTTAAGAGTGACAGACAGAGGCCTTTTCCAGAAATGGAATGGCTCCTTACCCATTAGAGTCAGCTAGAGGGTTGTTTTGTGAACTGAGCTGGTTATCATGGGCACGGTGCCACTCATCAAAATGCCACTGCTGCTTTGAACATTAGCATGCCAATTTGCTTGGTCAGCTGATCAAGCAGAAGCTAAGAAGGCCAAGGTTATGGGTTTTTATCGTGGTCCAACCTAGCTACCGTTAAGACCATCTTCCAACAATGGCACTACTGTAGAAATAGTTTCTGATGAAATCTTTGTCGGCTTTCCACATACAAAGCTGCAAAGCTAAGGGACATCTGCCAAAGGCATGTGGATACCATATTGTCCTTTTCAGTCTAACGCTCCCAACTGAGCTATTTTGGCTCTCTCAGAAAAAAACCTCGTTCAAATTCATATTCTTCCAAGGATGGGGCTATAGCTCACTTTTATGCATCTGAGTCACACTTGCTTTGAATCATAGTCATAATCAGCCACAGCTCTAGTTGAAGCTTCTCAGGTTCAGACCTGAAGGACATGGTCTATAGATCTCAGCACTCTTCCTTTTTGGGCTTCAAGAGTTTGCTGGAGCAAAAAAGCTATTATTAAGTGCGCAGACAATCCTTATGTGTAGACATTAACCGTTTAACACAGGGGACTCTCAGGATCCAGGCTTACCTGTGATTAGTAATTAGGAAATTCCAACCTTACCAAAATGGCATGAGTTTAGAGCAGGTAATTTACATGAAATGATTGCCAAGGTGTTGCTCAATCAGCTAGCACTTAAAACAAGTGCTGGTGGGTGGAACCATAAGCAGCTAAGGTAGAGATGAAAAAAAAAAAAAAAAAAAAACACCTAGGAAACTTTTACAAGTTTTCTGTGGTTTTGTTCTCTGGGCAAGAAATTAGCCACGTTGCTTGACTTTAATATGCCTCCACCCCAACTCTGTCGGGGGAGGGGGGGGAAGCCATTAAGATGGTGTAAACAGAGGCTGATTATCTAAAAACAGCCCTTGTTTTCCGCACGTGAAAGGCAACAAGTGCCCTTTAAAGGGCAGCACAGAACAAAACGCTCAGACCTCCAACAGGCAGATTTCCAAAACTAGCTACACTAGGGGCCACCTCCCCTCACCCGCAAGACATCAGTTCTCCACGCTAAGTGCCAGGGGCTGCCCTTAGCATACCCAGGGTGCATAGGGAGAAGCACCCTGAAGGGGAGACAACTGCACAAGTTGAAGAATATGAATTTGAACGAGGTTTTTTTCTGAGAGAGCCAAAATAGCTCAGTTGGGAGCAAGCGACACGGGGCAAGATGTTCCACAAAGTTCTTGCATGTGTGTGTGGGGGGAGAAGGGACACCCAGGGAGAAATATTGGGCTTCTTTTTACTAAAATCCCGAAGCCTGCCCCGGGAGGTGAAGTGCTTTCCATCAATTCTCCAAACCGCGAACATTTCCCAAGCGCACCCCACCCAGGCGCGCGCCCTCCCCGCCGAGCACCCTTGGGCAGGTGGGTGCCAGTCCCACTGCGGCGCAGGGAGGGCGGCTGGGCAAGAAAGCTCCCGGGTCCTCTCCCTCCAGCGGCCCAGACGGCGCCTCCCACGCCCTCAGCCCGGTCCCAGAAGCACAGACTTGCACCGACCGTGAAGCTCGGCGGGGCGCAGACGGCCGCCGGGTCTGCGGGCGCCGGGAGGGCTGCGGCGCGGAGGTGACGGGTGTCCCGGGCGGCGGCAGGGCGGCAGCCCTGGCTGCACGGCCGATTCGGCTCCGGAAAACTTCCCAGCCGGGCCACAGCTTCTTTGGGGCGGTCTCGCGGAGCCTCCAGTCTCCGGCGACGAGCGGGTGGGATGGAGGAGCCTCCCCACCTCCTTTCCACAATCTCCGGGCCAGAGGGCGGACTGGGCGCGCGAGGGCTCGCAAGAGAATGAAAACTCGGGAGGGGCGCGCCTGCCTCTGCCCGTCCTCGCGTCCTCCTCCGGAGCTCCCAGACCTTCTACTTTCTAGGACTGCAGGAGCGTCCTAACCTACAGCCCTCCAGGGAGCAAGACAGGAGGAGCACAGAAATGCCGCCCCCCTCCAGGCCCCCAAGGGCAGGAGTCTTTTAACTATTTCCTTCCTGAATGAGGGGGAGGGTTTACAGACAAGACTGGAGAAGCTCGTCCCTTGGTCAGTTAGTTCGGGCAGGTCTGATCTGTGGTGGAGCAACTGCAGACAACCAGAGCCCAAGGGTGGCTTCTCCTCCGCCTTTCCTTCGGCTGGCCTGGGCGCGACCTCTGGTTTAGAAAAAGTTAGGGAGCCCAAGTGGAAGGTGGGTTTCTGGGTCAAGGGAGAGTTGGTTGTATCTTGCCTCTCAAGCCTGGGCCCCAAGATTACACACTAGCCTGGGGGAAAGGAGGTGGCCCAGGAGAGTGCAGAGGGCTCCAAGGTGTGGATCAGTGTGGATCAGTGCTCCAGAAATTCAGACAATGAGGATACAGACCCTGTGGAAGGTGGGGCTCAGCGTCTTTATGAGGGCTGGGACTGTCACCTAAATCCAGGGTGGTGGGTGGGAGAGGAGAGGTGAGCAAATTGCTGTGATGTGTGAGAAAAATGGCGGCTCTTCAGGGAGAGCCTGGCTTGCTGTAGCATACTGTGCTGTGGCGATGAGAGACTGGAACCTGGTCACATCACATCACAGACTGTTCTGGTTATCTGTTGCGGGGAATAAGTCATCCACCCTAAAGTACAGTGGCTTAAAATAACAGCCAGTCACTTTGCTCGTAAGTCTGCAGTTTGGGCAGGGCTTGTCTGGGACAGAGTGTTTCTGTGCTGGGTAGTTAGGAATAGAGCATGCACTTCTGAGAGTGTTCACATGCTTAGTTTTTCTCCGTGTGTGTCTCCACAAATGTAGTTTGGCCTTGGCACAGTGGAGTTGGCTAAATTCCAAGAATGAGTGTCCCAAGAGACAGGATGCGGAGGTCGCTGGTCTCTTAGGTTCTGAGCCCAGAAATAGGCACAAGGGCCTTCCAGTAGTTGAGCAGTCACAGATCCCAGATTCAGCGTGAGAGTGTGGAGACCCCACCTGTGAAAGACAGGAGTGTCAAAGACTTAGGAAGCAGTTTGTAAAACCATTAAAGAGGTCCACAGAATACCACCATTGAAAGCGACCTTCATGGTCCTCTAGCTCAGCTGGACTACATATTTCCCCTCTATTCTACCTATAGCTTGTCTGTGAAGGAGAGTTAACCAGCTGGAATAATCTAAGGGCCTTAGTTTTTGTTCAAAAGCAGGAACCTCTGGGCAAGTGGCTTGACAAGTTGACAGTATTTTCCAGGAAAATGAAGTTCCTGCCTTCTCCCAGAAGAGGCAGGTCACAACTTGGTATGTAAAACCTGATGGAGTTCAGCCCCTACTTACTCTGTGACCGGGCACAATTACACAATGCGCAACATGCACAGCTAAACCCGTCAGTGTTTAGAGCATACGCATCAGTCCCAGTGTTCTGGAACAGCTGATCCCAGTGTGGTGTGGGATGACTTCTTAAAGATTCTTCCTTCACACCCACAGGATGGTGATTATAAACAAAAAAATAAAACCAAAATCAGGAAATAGCAAGTGTTGACAAGAAGTTGAGAAACTGGAATACTTGGCTGTTGCTGGTAGGAATGCGAAATAGTGCAGCGGCTGTTGAAAACAGCATGGAAGTCCTCAAAATATTATTATTATTATTTTTGTGGTACTGGGGATTAAAGCCAGGGCCTTCAAACTAAGCTACATCCTCAGGCCCATTTTAATTTGTTTTTAAAAGTTTGAGACAATAGCTCGCTAAGTCACTAAATTGCCCAACTGGCCTCAAACTTGTGACCCCTCTGGCTCAGCTTCCTAGAGTGCCTGTACCACCACATCTTTGAAACAGTAAACAGAAAACTTGTATGTAATCTGTGAAATTTACTTCTGGGTATATATTTAAAATAATTGTACCAGGATCTTAGGCAATATCTGTGCACCCATGTTGATAGCAGTGTTAGTTGTAATAGCCAAAAGATGCAAACACCATGTATGTCCATTGATGAATGAATAAACAAAATGTGAAATATACTTCCAATGGCATATTGTTAAAACTCACTGCAGCCTTAACAAAGAACGAAATCCTGCAGCATGAATGAAAGCCTACAGCATGGATGAACTTTGAAGACAGTATGCTAAGTGAAATAAAGCAGACACAAAAGGACAGATGTTATATCGTCAAAGGACACAAAGCCACAACAGTTTAAAGACCTTAATTGACTTTGTTTATAGTTCTAGAATCAGACTGTACTTTATTCCACAAGAGAACACATTTTTCTTTTTTTCTTTTGTTGTGCTGCCTGGTATTGCACCCAGGGCCTTCACACTGAGCTACATCCCCAGCATTTTTTATTTTTTATTTTGAGAAAGAGTCTCACTAAGTTGCTAAGTTACCCAGGCTGGGCTTAAACTTACAATCCTCCTGCCTCAGTCTCCCAGAGTGCTGGGATAAACAGGCTTGTACCACTACATCTAATTGGAATAAGTGTTGTGATGGGCTGCAGAAGAGATTTGTGGATAGAGAAAAGCTGAAGAATGCAGAAACAAAAGAACAAAAAAAAGGGTTTGGTCATTTCAAAGTTACTTGCCTTGTAAGGTGGGACAGGTAGACAGAATACTAGGCAACGGATGACTTACTATGAGTTTACTTCAAGGTTATCTGTATGTGTGTGTGTAAGGTACAAGGCAAAGGGGTCCTCATTATCTTGCCAGTTAGACCATCCGCTTGGGAAATTTGGCTTCTGGCTTTCTACTCTTGATTGTTTGGAAGGTAACAAACAACTTAATTTCAGCTTGATGGTATGGAACTTTGGTGTGTGTGTGTGTGAATCCATTTTTGAATTTTAGCCCAGTTTGTTCAGGAGCTTAGTCCAAAAAATAACTACTTATATTTTTCATTTAACAATATGATTCCATGTATGTGAAGGATTTAAAACAACTAAATTCATAATAATAGAAGATAGCGACTAATGGGAGCATGGAGAATGGGGACTTGGTTATGTATGTGAGTTTTAGTTTAGGATGGTGAAAAGGTTCTTGAGGTGGATGTGGTGAAGGTTGCACGCCAGTGCGAATGGTATATGGCAGTGAACTGTGCATGTAAAATGGTTAACACAATACATTTACATTATGTATATTTATCATAGTAAAATTTCTTCCTGACGCAAGATGAAATCCCCTTCTTTCTGTTACCTGTTGATCTGTCCTCTGAGTTCATAAAATGAGTGTAGTGTCTCTTCTAAGAATGATCTTCAAATATAAATAAATGCGTTATGTGAGGCACGAGCATAGACCTGCTTTTGAAAGGGCCTGGGGTTGCTTCATTCTAGGTGAAAACAACACAAACATCCTTTGTTGTTTAGGAGATTTAATCTCATCTTCTGTGTTTTACTTTGGATGAAATGACTTGAGTGAACTCAGACCGGTTTTAGGCAAAATTCACTTCCTGTCAGGAAGACCTAATGTATTTGCCCCACTTCTCTATTCCCTAGTTTATACTTATAAAGAGCATGTGATCGACATAGTTAGCTAAGTTTTCAATTTGACTTCGAAAGGTTGGATTCCTAGGGAGGTCAATTGGATGAAGATTTGCAGGTTTTCTAGATTGCAGGAGAATCTAGAAAAAACTCAATCACACTTGAGTTTTGGTTCAAGCAGCTCATGAAATGGAGCATTACTGTAATGGGATTCACTGTGAGTTCTCTCAGCATCACATCATATTGATTTCCTGTGCAATAATTGCTGCAGATTAAGAAGTGCTCAAGATAGCACTTAAAAACCAATTTTTTATGTTTTCTTTGGGCAAATGGTCTTCTATATATAAGTTTCTTGATTGAAATTTGCAAGTCCATTTCACAACCTCTAGCTCCTGAGAACCTCCTGAGATGCGATACAAGATTTGAACTTCACAACATTTGCAGAGAATATTGTGGGCATTTTTGAACTTCTTGGGGGAAGGAAAACTGAAGAATTCAAAGAAGAACTACAAGGAAGAGCTACAAAGCTGGTTGTGAGAAGAAAAGGAAGAAGTGAAGAAACATTCATCAGAGATGTAAGGCCTGAAATTGCCACCAAAGCCTTCACACTGGACAGTGTGGTGGCCAAGATTTTTGGCAGTGAATGCCATGGCCTGAAGGTGAAAAGACAAATCCTCTGAGTTGAAGATCTTTTTATTTTCCTTCTGGTATTAGAGGGATTGAACCGAGGGCCTGAGCACTAAACTGTATCCCCAGCACTTTTTAAATTAAATTAAACATTTAATTTAATGGTCTCACGAAATTGCTAAAATACCCAGTCTGGGCTCCAACTCATGATCCTCCTGCCCTGGCCTCCCAGGGTAGTGGGATTACAGGCGTGCCATCATCCCTGGCTAACGGTTCATTCTAAATTAAAACTCACTACAGGTAGTTTGTTTCCAAAAAGAAATGTGGTTTACTCTTGAACAACTTGGGGGGATAGGGATGCTGGCTCCAATAGAAAATCTATGTATAACATTTTTAGGAAAAAAAAAAAGACTTTTATTAACAGATGCTTGCACTTTGTTGACTCTTTTTGAGAAACTTGGGTTATAGGCTTTTATTATAAATTTCAGATGAAGTTCTTGAAAATCTCAACTTGTCCAGATATGAAACAAATTTAAAGGCCTTGAAAAGTGTACTGAGAAAAACCAGGCTTAAAAAATTGTCCTTATGAAAAGGGAATATGCCCATGCTGTGTAAATGATGCAGATGATTCCAGTTGGCTGGTAAGTGGGCAAAAAGTATGTATTTAGTGTATTCAGCTCCAACCTTTTGTTCATTTCCCGTGGTTGGAATTTCACATTCATTTCATCTTGTGCTTGACCAGATGATGGTAGAGATGGTAAGCTGAAATGTAATGAGCCTATCCTGCTCAGCTTCAGGAACAGATCAAATCTCACTAGGCTGATGGACTGACTGTTTTCCTGTCTGTACTATCTTGGTGAGGAGGGACCCTACAG